ACTGTGGTAGTTTCCCAGGCTCTCTTCCACATCAGTCATGCATGGGGTTCAAATTAGTAATTAACAATAAAAAAAAAATGCTTGTTATTTTACAGCAGGAGCAAGAGTACATGGTCACATCTGTGATGATGTATGCATTTAAAATGCTATGGGAAGTATTTCCACAGAAGGGAATTATCAAGGGATGAGTGTCCAGCTCGAAACATCCTCTGTTTTTTAATAATACATAGCAGGCTTCTGTGGAGGAGGATTATTTAAAAGATGAAATACCAATCTTCCTTCAAGATATGTCAGAGGATGTGCTTTAAGAGGGTAGTCATGCATCTGCCTCCCCATGGCTTATGACTTTATGATTTCATTCCTCCATAAATGTTTAGCAGTGTCCAGGTTCAAGAACTGTACTGATTAAAAGCAGGGGTGACTTTGATGCATGCTGCAATTACAAGGATTATATTCTAGAAAAGCTGTTCTTCAACTAAATGGTTTGCTGAGACCAAGGAGGACTGCTGAAGACAGGAAACTACACTTTGAATCAAACAAAACAACTTTTTGTTTCCGCTGTTCCACAGAAATCAATGCCTGTTAATGTAATTTTTGGCAGTGAAATTCTCCATGAGATGACAAAAGTCTCTACTAGACGATACCTCAATCCAAAGCAAGAAGAAATGAAATACACTAGGATTGGCTGTCTTGTCTCATTTTTCTCAGGAGTCCCTCAGCTGAATCAAAGTTAGAATCTTAGGTAGAATCAACGAGATCAGACATCCACTACAGGCTCTGGACTGCAGCTCTAAAAGCTCCCCTTCTTGCTACAAATGTGCTATCTGAAGCTTTAAATCATCCAACAGCAGGAGGACTTTCTGGAAAGGTTTATGCTTGTGACCTCACCAAGTAATTACTATTATAACACTGCTTTGTTTTGAATGTTCTATTTTGGGAAATAGGTAAGAAAATTATTTAAAAAAAAAATCCTTTAGACAACTCTAGAAAGTGTGTACTGGAGGGGAAAAAATACCTTCATTCTACCTGTTCTATTTGTCACCAATGTCAGCTTGTATGAAAAGATGCTCGGCATTGAAAAGCATTTGTCATCGAAGTAATGAGCACACACATGACTGCTTGCATTGTAAATGGCAGCAGACAGGGATAGGTATTACTTTGTAAAACAACTTGGGAACTGCTTTTAAATCACTTTTGATTCCTTGGACCATCATAACCTAACTCCAGCTTCCTGTACAGTCTGACATTCATGCAGCTGCGTATTTTACACCCTTTCTTAAGTAACAGGACTGTCCAAGGCTATCACGTGACTGTGTGTGTGGATACTTTGTTTCAACAACTAAAGTAGGTAGCACTGAAAGTAACAGCCACATCCTAAGGCTCATATTACATGCAAGGGAGAAGAGAGTGACTTTTATTTTTCTTCCTCTCCTTTTACTTTCCTTCCTCAACTTGTCTTCCTATGCCATTGTTACGCAGTATATTAACTTAATTAAACTTAAATAAAGTATATTATTATAAACACATAACTTTCTGGATGGCAGACCAGCTCCTACTAGGAGGTGGAGAATTTTGGAAATGTTTTTCAAAAACTTAATCATTTCATACACAGGAAGCTTTTCTGTACCTTTACATATCTGGAAAATCCTGACGCCTACAAGTGGACACAGTAAGTTAGAGTTAGCTGGAAGACGCATCACATATTCCACTACTTCTAAACAATAACGGCTGAGCCCCATGAGTAACGTTTGCTGCTTACTGCTTGGTGACTCTGATCTAGTCTGGCAAAATATGACCTGACCTTGCTTATTCACACCTTTGTCATCACTTGGCTAGACTATGCTGAGGCACTAGCCCTGGCGGCACAGCATTTACCATGTGGGAAACTCCAGACAGGATGAAAACCAGCTGCTGGTCTACTTGGCAACATGGACTTGCTACCTGTTGTCTGCTGCCTGGGCTGGCATCCCGTAGGTTGGCAAACCACACTCAACATCCCTGCCTTTTACTTCCAGGATGAGCAAGGGACTAAGTGCTGTATTTAATTGATCTGCCACAGCTTTGAGATGAAGCTTCTCATCAGCAAATTTGCTGCATAGGCTTTCTAAAATCCCATTTTTTGTTCAGCAAATAAAAAAGCCTAGGGTTTGGCACACACACACACTAAATACACATATTTAAGTAATTTAATTTTGTTAAAAAATTATTTACTTTAAATGTTTCAATAAAATAAATTAAAAGTAGAACTTCCACTACAAAAGGCTCTCACTCCTGAATGATAATTTAATAACAGTATGCCAGGTGTTATCCACGCTGCTTAGTGTATCCCTGGGATGTGTTCCAGAACCACCAAGAGTGAGTGGAACAGAAGAAACCCCAAAATACTGCAGTTGTTACTTCACACACAGAAATCTGTTTTTTTTTACCTGCCTAAATGTCTTCCTTAAGTCTTTAACTCTTTTAAAGAAACTCCCAATAACGAATAAGAACCTACAGGTCTGGAAAGTGATTGCAAAGAATACATACACTATACATTGTGCAAATCTTAAATCTGGGCAATAAATTATGAAATCCATATACCTGCATTTATGCAACTTTTTGTTCCCTCAAAGTTTTTCCTACTTGCAGATGTTTCTATGTGCAAAATATTTCAACATACAACAGCAAATTATGCTCTGAAAGGGCATTTTTCATGTTTTCAAATGTTTAGAGTTTCTCAAACTTACGATTTTTCTTATATTAAGTCTTTCCTGACAACTATCAGGGTCAGAACCATCTATTACACGATTTTCCTCTAATTCTTTCAGTTATGCAAACTGTCAGAAAAATCCCCTTTCAGTTAAGTCTTGTCTCCCTGAACATGCAAGTTACAACCATAAGGAGTAACACGGTGCTTTTGCTAGAATGCATTATCTTACTGGCATTTAATGATGCATATTTTAATGGTGAGGTTTTCATACCTCAGGAAAACATGCTCTAACATGTTAACTGAAAAAATCCAGGCCTGTCTTCGGCTTCTACCCTGACCTCTGCTGGCGGTAATTGAAAAATCACAATACCTCTAGTAGTAGAGCTGTTTTGTAATTGAAAGCTTTGTTTTTCCAAACTTTACTTTCACCTGACCTACTGCTACGTAGAATAATCCAGCTTTTGCAAGTCCTTCCTAACTAGATTTTTCAAATTGCTGTTTATGGGTCTTAACAGCACTTGGTGAGGAATTAACATCCCACAGCGTCCCTGCAAGCCAAGGATAAATGAGTCAAGGTTGTAATGGGAGAGGTTTGCTGTCCCTCTGCTGTATCCACTCTTCACCTGTACATGAGGGGCCCAAACCAACCTCCAGTTTACAGGACATTACTAAATGATAGAACTGGTAGTAATATTTCTGTGGAAGCCTGCTGGGAAGGAGGACAAAACCATTCAAATTTGGTGAAGCACAGTTCAAGTTGATTGTATTTTTGGCTCATCATCAGTTCCTTTTACTGTGATGTATTAAAAAAAAAAAAAGGTGTTGGTGGGGAAACCATCTTATTTAGTTCCTTGGGAATCATATCAGTTTTTTGAGCAAATCCTTTTCAACTGTGGTGTGGTTGTGGGAGGGCCAGATGGGTAACAGCATGGTATTCAGACGTTTGTTTGTGAAATATACTTATTTGGGTTGTGGACTTCTAGGTCCAGCTTAGATCAGCTTTTAGGCCATTGTAATTTAGGCCAGTGGTTGTGCCAGCCCCTGAAGAACCACTATTGGGTCAATTTTGCCCTATTTACAGACCTTAACTTGAGCATAGTTTAGGCAGATGCACGTATTAAGCATCTATAGAAAGGAGAGGGAGCAGAGAAGCAATTTTTTTCTGATAAGTTTGTAGTTACATTTTTGCTTTTAAAAACCTGTTTGAACCTTGAAATCCTACCCCTCTCATCTGCTAGGTGAAAACCACGATATGCTTCTCAAAATGGTGTTTAAAAACAATATTTCTGAATGAAAATTGAAAGCATCAGCAACACATTTTCTTCTCCCTGAGCTATTTATATATAATTTTCTCAAACTGGAATTCTCTTGAGACACCTCTCACTTTAGCAGCCTGTTTTTAGCAATATGCCCTGTCATACAGGCACATTTTTGGCAGTGTTAAAGGCCAGCCTGGATGGGGCTTTGAGCAGCCTGGTCTTATGGAAGGTGTCCCTCCCTGTGGCAAGGGAGTTGGAACAAGATGATTTTGAAGGCCCCTTCCAACTCAAGCCATTCTATGATTCTGAATGACACACTTCAGTTTGTAAAGTTACCCGAGCAGTAGGCAGTTGTTTTCCATGTGCTTGTTGTGCAGATGGTTTCCTACTGAACCTGTTCCCAGAGGTTTGTTCATAAAGCTGTTTGTGGGCACAACCACTTTAGTCACTAACCTGCAACTCCCAGCTGGTGGGTGGCGTACCCCGGCAGCCTGCTGGGCCCTTCTCCCAGCCATAGGGTCAAGGTGGATGAGCCCTGCTCAGCGTGGTGGAAAGTAAAGCCTTGTGAAGCGGCTGCTGCCGCAAACCCACTCTGGAAAATGGGAACATGGAGCCAGACAGCAGTGCAGCCTTCCTCCCGCCACTGGGCCACAGCACCTGCAAGAGAAAGTGAGCAGCGGAGGCTGAAAGCCACCGCCGCCTCTGAGACGCCCCTCGCAGTTGCTCCTTCTGGTCGTAAACCTCACCGCACACAACGAATTGGATTAATGCGTCAAAGTCTGTATTTTTCACCTCATTTACCGCTGGTCAAACTACCATAGGTGTGAGAAATGTGCCAGCGGCGACAGGTGGAGAGGCTGCCAGCTTGGCATTTTAAGCAGTAAATTTTGGTGTCAACACATAAAATAGGGGGATTTACGTTAGGATATGCCTTAAGGCACAGGAAACCGCATCTTTCCTCCCTTCAGCTGCCTCTGCCGACACCCCTCACCACACGACCACGGCTATGCGTGCGTGAAGGTGAGCTCACGGCTCATGGGAAGACTCGCTGCCCCCCTCCCCGCCCTGCCTCCCCGGGGCCCCCGCCCGGCACTTGCCGCGCAGCCATCGCCCGAAGATGGCCCGCTCCAAACAGAGAGGCTGACTCAACTCCGCCAAGTTCACGCTCACCCCCCCGAACTTATCCGGCCGCGCCTGCAGCCCCGCCAGAGCCGCCCAGCCCCGCGCACGGTGCAGCGCCCGCCACGGCCTCACCATGGCGCTGCGTGGGGCTGAGCCGGACGAGACGAGGCCACCCCATGGGCGGTGCCGGCCTCTGCTCCCGGAAGCGCTCTGCGACAGCTGGCGGGGCAGCATGGCCGCGTCTTCCAGAAGGAAGAGTAAGGGGCGGCCGGTCCCAGACAGCGGTGGCAGCGATGGCTCTCCGCGCGCCGTTCCCCTTGACGCTGCCGAGGGCGGGCCGCTGGTGCTGGGGGTCTCGGACGCTGTGGAGGCAGGTACGTGAGTGCTTGCGACGGGGACGGGCCAATATCTGACCCGGCCGCCGGGCTGAGGGCGGCTCGTTTAAAAATGAGTCCCTGCAAAACTGCGCTCGCATGGCTGCCAGAGCGAGCCCGGCCCCCCGTGGCAGGGTTCTAGCGGCTGCCTGGTCCTCTCACGGAGACGGGCCTTGCGGGAAAGTGAGGCTTTCTCGGGCAAGGTCGGCTGAGCCCCGTGTAATGGATTTTGTTTGTAGTTTTTTTTGTTGTTTCTTGTTAGTTAAAACGGGATGGGAAATCTGTCAGTCCACGTTGCCATGGGTGTTTTCAGACCGGTCGAAAACACGGTCCTCTTACAGCGCAGACCCAGGATGGTCCCTGCACTTCGCTCATGGCTGAGTGCTGCCATTCATGGGGCTTAGAAGGGTTTTGTTAGTTATACTGATTGGGGAGTGCGAGAAACACTGAATTAATCTAACAAGTAGGAAAAAATGATTTTTTTTTTTTTCTGAAAATATTAGGAGATGATAAAGTTCCAAATATGTTGCGAAGAGACCTCGCCCAGCTGTCACTGAGCAGCATGAAGTCTGCAAACGTATGCATAGGTCGTCCGGTCTTGATTACGTCTGCTAATGGGCGACAGGAGGTGAGGCTCTTAATTATTCCTACAAGTGCTTTTTCTGGGGCTTTCAACATGTTTCTCTTGTATTCAGCAGGGACCAAAATGGAGCATGCATTGAGAAAGATAGCAAATGGGCTTATCCATGTTTTCTACTCTGTAGTTACATCTTTATTCTCAGTACTGATTTTTTTTTTTCCCAGAAGTGTATGTCGAGTGAATATATGTATTGTGTTTTGTATGATATATGTACGCACACGTTTTATTTGTGAAGAAAGAGTACAGCACTTTTCTTTCTTCATTGATTTGAGGCATTTCTTACAGTGTATGCTTTTGGGTCATCTGCAAAATGTGTAGGGTCTTGGAGGAATTTTTTGTCTCCTGTAGGCAAAGTATAACCCCTTCTTTCTTGAAAAGTGTCTTGGATCATACCTTAAGAACTCAGTGCTACTCAGTATCTTACTCTGTGGCACCAAGTTTTGACCTAATCCTTCTTCCCTCTCAGCAGATGTTTTTTATAACAAAACATTGCTCCTCCTAAGTGGAAGACTGGAAATGGTGGGAAGAAAAATCCATCTTAACTGACAGTTGTTTGCTTGCATCCTCTTCCTAGGTCTGTACTGCTTGGCCCACCACAGGCTTTCCAGGTGGGAAAGTTGGGCTGAGTGAAGCCACACAGAAGAACTTGAAAGCAAATCTGGGTGATGCTGTCACTGTGCAGCCTGTAATTGGTGCAGTCATCCAGGCAGAGGAAATCAATGTAAAGTTGAGGTATGGAACTTGTTATAACCTAGTGAGGTGTCTGCTTTACACTGCCGACTCCTACCTCTTAGAAGATGCTATTTTTTTCTCTTGCTTTGATGGTATTAGTACCTACACAAAATCAAACAAGTGCAGATGTTTGCAGGGTTAAGATTAAAGTTTAGTAACTGTTGGCTTACTGCCACTAACTGCAGCCCCCTGTGTGCACAGTGGAGTGGCTCAGCTGTTGTACAAAATCTGAGCTGAGGTGCTGTTGTCTCACATAAATGTGAGACATCAATGTTAATGACATTAAGCTCATTAGTCTTAAGAGAGTCTTTGTTTCACGTTAAATTAATGAATAGTAACTATAGCCCAGCATCTCCTGAAGCGGAGGTCAAGCTACCTGCATTGCGTTTACATTAGGCAAGGGTGTGTAACTGCACGATCAAGGCAGATTTGTTGAACTTGTAAGTCACTTGTAAAGGATGAGGATAATCTCTCTGTGTATAGTTGATGTCAGGTTAGAAGGAGCCTGTGTTGCTGCTGTTGTCATTAGAAAGTAAGCTGCACACTGCTATCTGAGAAGCTCTTGTTGAAAAGTCCTGTTGTGGTTAAGAGAAATACTGGCTGACAGCTTGGGGAGAGTGATTTTATATTTTTTTTAACTACTTCCCTTCAGAACTTGCCCTTTGTATATTTGTGGCTTTATGCTCTGGTTTTATTTACTGGAATATCTTTTAGGATTGGAAATTCTGAGGTGTTTCTTTTTTAATTGAAATTCAGTCCAAAAAAAGAAGCAAAAGGTACAAATCACAGTTGTCTTGAAGTCGTGAATGCACTGAGAAATTAACATTTTGCCAGTCTGCAGAATACAGACTTCCTGTATTTGTCATTCTCAAAACATCCCACAGTCACCATTTGGGTTGACGCAGAACCTGATTATAGTTAATTCCTAGATAAAGTTATTTTACAGTTACTTTGAAAGTGTGCCAATACTTCAATTACTATAAATTTACTTCACTTCCCCGTTAAGCCTCTGTTTTCAAACATGATGTTGTTGTCCATTTTAACAGGAAGATGCTGTTTTCCAGTGTACTGACTCTCAGAAATGCTAGTGAGGCAGTCTTGCTTTGCGTCAGGAATATAACCAACTTTTATTACAGTTTTAGTGGTTAATTTGGCTGCACATTATGTGCTGACTTCCTGCCATCAGCTTGCGTTGCCCTCTGTGCCTCTCTCCTTACCAGAAATGCAAAAAAAAGATATCTTTTGATATGGTTAATTTAATCCTATAGAAAGTTTTACTATTATTACATACTGTTTGGTTATAGAAGTGTTTGAAAACAGTCATTTCATTAAAAAGTGAACCTCACGTTAAATTAAATAATTAAGCATAATCTACTTATATTTCCCCATGTTAATATGCATTTTTTCTTCAAAGCTGAGACTTTTACAATACAAGCAAAGGATGAGGTCAGAGGAATTGAGTATGTAATTTCAGAAATATTTGATTACAGTAATTTTCTTTGGAAACTGTTCCACAATCAGAGGTTTCCCTCTTGGCCAGTCAAGAGTCAGGCTCTGAGGGTTGTTATACGTATGTACCACCAGATTAAATGACTGTTTTTCTAGAATTACTCTAGGAAAAAAAGAAAATGGTAACTGGTCTGTTTTAATCCTGTTCACTTATTACAAACCTTAGTGCCATTCTACCATGTAAGAATATAAATTATTAAAAGAAATGGAAATCCCGTTATCTGAGTACTGCCTAGGTTTCTAGCCACTTCACAGTTGCAGCTCCTTCTCTGCAAATTAATACCTCTAGGGAGCTGCTTGCATACATAATTTAGCTTTTTTCTTCTTCTTTTTTTTTTTTTTTTCAAATCAGTCCCCAGCCTCAGACTCCAAAAACGTAACAAGATGTGTTTACTTGTCAGGAATGGCAATGATATTTTGAGTGAGCTCCTCTAAATTAGCATAATACACCTCTTTCCGTCAAGTTCCTTTGTTAGTAGAATTGAGAGCTGGGGGTTTATTTCTGGGTTTAGAGCGCCCCCCGTTGATCATACTTTTATTTGCAGTAGCTGTAACTTTAAATGTCTTACACATTGCAGTGTGTCTGAGGAGTGGGGAGAGATAATGGTGTCTGTGCTCTCAGTGGCGTGAGGTATTTTAATAGACACTGGAGAAAGACATTCTCACAAGACACTTTTTACCTTGCACTTGCTTTAGGTTAAGACCACATTTGTTCAGTTGTGTGTTAAATCCCAGTTGAGAAAATGCTGTAGGCCTGGCCAGGGCTGGTGAGGCTTAAGGCTTATCTGTTGAGTCACTTAAACTTGGTTAAATAAAAGATTAGAAAATATGTCATGGAGAGGAATTGTACTGGTTTGATAGTGGATATACAGTGCTTAAGGCATGCATGGTTTTGCAAGTGTTGAAGATACTAGTTTCATGAATAGAAGATGTGTATGTGTGTTTGCAGGGCTGGAAGAGACTTATTTTATCTGTAATATTTTTAAATTCAGTAAATGTAGCAATGGCTGTTTGCGTGGTGAGATGAGAAGCATGCATTTCATATATTTAATCTTTAAAAATGGTAAATATAAGTTATGATATTGTTTATTTCAGCATTATGTATAGAAAAACTAACCCAGAATTCAATATGCATGCTTCTTTTGTTGCTATGTGTCTAATATTCAGATAGTATAAAAAACAGACTAGGGACAATGTGGGCCCTCTCCAGAAGCTATCAGGAGAACTGGCTACCCTGGATTTGGAGAAGGCTGAAGCTCATAATGACTTCTTTGCCTCAGCCTTCACTGGCAAATGCTCTGACCACGCCACCCAAGTGTTGTAAGGCAGAGGCAGGGATTGTGAGAGTGAAGACCTCAGGCCCACTGTAGGAGAGGATCTGGTTTGAGACCGTCTTAAGAACCTGAATGTACACAAGTCCATGGGACCTGATGAAATCCATCTGCGGGTCCTGATGGAGCTGGCGAATGAAGTTGCTAAGCCACTGGCCATCATATTTGAAAAATCATGGCAGTCAGGTGAAGTTCCCAATGACTGGAAAAAAGGTAATATAGCCACCATTTTCAAGAAGGGAAGAATGGATGACCCAAGGAAATACAGACCAGTCAGTCTCACTTCTGTGCCTGGCAAAATCTTGGAGCAGATTCTCCTGGGAGGCATGCTAAGGCACATGAAAAACAACAAGGTGCTTGGTGACAGCCAGCATGGCTTCACTAAGGGGAAATCCTGCTTGACCAATTTGGTGGCCTTCTGTGATGGGCCTACGGAACTGACAGACAGGGGTAGAGCAGTTGATGTCATCTACCTGGACTTGTGCAAAGCGTTTGACACTGTCCCACACGACATTCTTGTCTCTAAATTAGAAAGACACCAATTTGATGGATGGACCACTCAGTGGATAAAGAACTGGCTGGATGGCCGCACACAAAGAGTTGTGGTCAATGGCTCAATGTCCAGCTGGAGACCAGTAACGAGTGGTGTCCCTCAGGGATCGGTGTTGGGACCGGTCTTGTTTAACATCTTTGTCGCTGACATGGACGGTGGGATTGAGTGCGCCCTCAGCAAGTTTGCAGATGACACCAAGCTGTGTTGATACGCTGGAGGGAAGGAATGCCATCCAGAGGGACCTTGACCCACTTGTGAGGTGGGCTGATGCCATCCTTATGTACCATGCCAAGTGCAAGGTCCTACACCTGGGTCAGAGCAATCCTAGGCACAGCTACAGGTTGGGAAGAGAAGAGATTCAGAGCAGCCCTCCGGAGAAGGACTTGGGGGTGCTGGTCGATGAGAAAATGAACATGAGCCAGCAGTGTGCAGTCACAGCCCAGAAAGCCAACCATATCCTGGGCTGCATCAAAAGGAGTGTGACCAGCAGGTGGAAGGAGGTGATCCTTCTCCCCACTCTGCTCTTGTGAGACCTTGCTTGGAGTATTTTTGTGCAGTTTTGGTGTCCTCAACATAAACGACATGGAACTGTTGGAACAAGTCCAGAGGAGGGCCAGGAGGATGATCAGGGGACTGGAGCACCTGCTGTAATCAAGACAGGCTGAGGAAGTTGAGGCTGTTCAGCCTGGAGAAGAGAAGGCTGTGTGGAGACCTCATAGCAGCCTTCCAGTATCTGGAGGGGGCCTTTAGGGATGCTGGGGAGGGACTCTTCATTAGGGACTGTAGTGATAGGAGAAGGGGTAACAGGTTCAAACTTAAACAGGGGAAGTTCTTTACTGTAAGGGTGGTGAGACACTGTAATGGGTTGCCCAGGGAAGCTGTGAAATGCTCCATCCCTGGCAGTGTTCAAGGCTGGTTGGACAGAGCCTCGGGTGACCATTTACTGTGAGGTGTCCCTGCCACGGCAGGGGTGTTGGAACTAGATGATCTTAAGGTCCTTCCCAACCCTAACTATTCTATGGTTCTATTATGTGAAGACTGGCAAGTGCTCATCCATCTTTTCTGTTTGTGGGGTTAAATGATATCCTGTAAAACAGGTGGTATTTGTTTGTTTGGTGCCTTAATGGTGTGGACTCTGTGTTGGTTTTGAAGTAGTTACTGCTTGGAAAAATGCTTTCTTTTTCCTTCCTACCACAGGGACAAAGATGCCACCATTAATGCCGAGGAAATGTCTGTCTGTCTACTGAGAAACCTAGGTACAAGTTTTGTTGCTTCTCTTTTGACTGTTTAATTTTTGTAGTAGATCCACAAGTTCTGGATGGAAAAGCAAACAGGTTCCTCTGGTGTTCTCAGTTGAGAGCTTATAGCAAAATAGAGTACCTTATCCTGGTCATGCTTCTTTTAGGGATTTGTCTTCTTTCGGCTAAATAATTTTGCCTTGCTGTAAATATGTAATTTACATTAATTGTGATCTATTTCTTCTGATCATTATACATACTACTGGTTCAGGTTACGGCTTTTTAGCAATCATTGCTGGCCTTCTGGCTGATATTGTGATGCTCTTCAAAATTTACTTGCAGTGTAAAAACGAGATAAAAGATCAATATTAACATGAAATCCCATACTCTGAATTACTTTTTTTTTTTTTTTTTTGTGTTGGTGATAAGTGAGGAAAATTGCTCTTTATTGGGTGGCGCATAAGTGTAAGTAAGGCAAAAAAAGCCAGTTAACCTGTGGAAGATATAGCACTACCCAAAGCACTCACTGCAAGTTGTTCTACTCAAAGGGAATATTCTGATTTAGGAATTAAGAAGAGTATTGCTATGCTAAGAAGCAGAAAACATTTGCATTTCAAATGTTTCATTTCAAATTCATGAGTTTGGAAATAATAAATCATGTTTACATTTCTGCCTTTGTTTTTTTTGTGCCTGTAGGGTGTGTTCAGATCACATTGCTTAATCTTTCTCTGTCAGTGCAAAGGCTAAAAACCTTGGCTTTTTGTTAGGCCAAGACTCTCAAAGAAGGTTGTCTAACCATGAACTGTTGTGAACTTATTAGGCACACAACAAATACAAAATTTTTACTTCTTACTAATTCCACATTCTCCCGTTGTATGGTGTGTGAAATTTAAAAGGGTCAGACTAATGATGTTTAGTGTGAGAGATTACATATGGTACTGGTGAATATTTACCCAGTAGTCTGTTTGTGCATAAAAGGATCATTGAAATGAACTGAAATTACATGGAAATTACCTGTCTTTTGTTATGCTTATTTAGAGCACTCCCTGACTAGTCTTCCTCACACAGAATTGTTCTGATACAAGAATGTCTGAATGTTATTGCTGCCAAAGTACATTGAAATGTTGTCTTTTTCTTGTCTTTTTTTTTTTTTTTTTTTAATCTTCCCATAGATGGGAAGATTGTTTTACCAGGAAATCTCTTGGCTTTCACCTTCTATGGCAGAGCTTGTAACATTGTGGTGATGAAAGTGAAAGGAACTGATGGTGGAGAGCTGACTGCCCAGGGCAGCACCGTTTCTGGTGATGTGCATGAGCCAGACCTTGAAGGATCAAATTTGGACACAAGTATGTTAGATTTGTCCTTCCAGCTCGGCAAGATGGATATTGACAATAGTCCAGAGGTTGCATCTATGAGCACACCAAGCAAACTGATGGATCCAAGTTCACCACTTACACCCAGTTCTGCTGTGATGGCCAGTGATCAAGGTGCTGGTCAGGCAGAGAAAACCTGCAGCAAGGGAGATGGCGCAGACCTCAGTAGTAATTTGGAGTTGTCTGGGAAAGGAGGCAGTGAGGGACTCCCACTGACTGGCAAAACTGGACAAATAAGCAGTGCAGACACTTTTTATTTTATTTCTTCAAGAACTAGAATCAGTTTTATTGAAACAAGGTCCAATGCAACAGATGATGGTGACTGTGAATCCCAAGTCACCTATGATATGATAGGAGGTCTAAGCAGCCAGCTCAGAACTATTAGAGAAACAGTTGAACTGCCCTTGAAGCAAGCTGAACTGTTCAAGAGTTACGGTATGATGCATAAGAGTTGGCTTCTTCATTTTATACTAGTTTTTCTTCTTTAACATGACTTTGTTTAATTTTTTGTAAAACCAAGCTATTGCAGGAATATGCACTGAATTTTATTTAATGCTGGTGTGGTATACATGTGTGTTTGAACAATGTCAAGCTGTTTTATAATGCTTGCTGTATGGATACTATGAAGATGTTATGATTAGGTCGTGAAAAATAATTGAGTAGGGAAGAAATACTTGTCTGTACAAAAAAATTCAGGCATGCATCAGCAGGTTTTACAGCAAATAGGAAAGACTTCTGTACTTGTGCATTTAAAGGTGCGGATGTTTGTGTCTTCATAAGATTTCAGTTTGTTCTGGTAGAGTCAACTAATTACATCTTTTTAAGTTGATAAAAACTCAGTTGGATTAATTTATCTGCTGTTTTTATCCCTGCATGTTGTAGGGTTCCTGCAAAATTTTAGGGAAGCTTTTGAGGCTGTTTACTCACTACTCAGTGTGTTTAGTAGGGAATGACAAGGTAGAAAAAAATAACATGATTACTGTTGCCATATATAAAGTCATACTTAACATATGTAGAAACTTTGGGGATTTTTGTGGCAAAGATAAAACTCTGTACTGTGTATTTATCACAAATGGATATGTATAAAGTAGATGCTTCTGCTCATTGTGCTTGTTTAGGTGTGGATCACTGTGAGACAGGCTTTTACCTGTAAATATTTCTTTAATATGATGTCTTTGAGGCTTTTTATTTCTCTTCCTTATCTATCCACACATAGGCTTAGGGAGGACATGATTTCAGTTATTACTGGGAAAATTCAAAAAGACAGTCTTTCGGTGTACATTGCTTGGGTGTGATGGGCAGGTGTCAATGGAATGGTGTGAGGCATCTTCATCCGCATGTGGTCCAGCTCAATTCACTGACATCCAACCTCAGCATCACCACATGATTTTGTGTTAGCAGAAAGTTTGCTTCAGCATCAGTGTTCTTCATACTTAGTCCCAAAACTGCTTGATCAGCTTCTGTATTAATTACATGAGAGATGATGATGTTTCCTCGTCAGTTGCAAACCTTTCATAACCATTAAAACGTTGAGAGCCCTTGTCTCCTCATGGGGAACAAGGCTGTCAGCTGAGTGAGACCTTGGTTCAGCAGCTCCGTTTCTTGCCAGTACCAGAAACACCGCATGAGGGAGCAGCACATACTTTAACGTACTCTTGTAAAGTAACCTCTCCTTAAAGACACTTCTATCCTGTGACAGTTAGCAGACAGTTTGAGTATGTTAGTTCCTAATATTTGGACTTTCTGTCTATGCCAGCTCTATTATTTTCCATCACCACTGGGATATGACCTGCCCTTCAAGCATTGTTCTCTGTCTGGTATTGCAGTACCAACTGATGTTTCTTCTTTGGTTGTGTTTCAGCAATGCCTTTAGTGACAGGGTCAGTCCTTTGTCAGACTTTCCTTCTTTTTGCTTTCTAATTTTTCATCTGTTTTTGGCTTTGTGCCCATTTGGTTTGGCTTTTGCTGGTCTGAAACTTTTTGGGGGCCTCTGCCTGGGATCATAATAGTACTTCATGCAGTTACCTGTAGTTTCTGTCCAGTTTTAACTGTATACAGTCATACCTTGTTCTTCTGGTGCCCCTTATGTTGTGTGCCTGAATGTTTCTGTCTGTTTTAGCTTGTAACATGTGCCACTAAAGAGGCAAATTAATCCTTTTGATGTGTGTTCTTAATTTTTTTTAAGTATTCTTGAATTGAACCTCAGTATTTCTGAGGGATTTTTCTGAACTGAACCTCACAGTATTTCTGAGGGAGAAGTGGTTTTCTGACATTGGAAATTCGTAATAATGACACTAAGAATCATTAATTACTTATTAAAGTACATTCATGGATGTTGGGTACTTGGTCCAATAGTTTTTTTGAAAAAAATCCCCAAAACAAACACCATAATGCATATGGAGAATTATAATGTTGAACTACTGAAAAATATAATGATTGAAATAGCTGCTTTTTAAACAGAAGCATCTGGACTTCAAAAGAAAAAATACAGATCTGTGCTCTGTATAAGAGTGCTCTTTCTACTGAAAGCCTACAATTCTATCAAAATGATGCATCTGTTAAAGAAGTTAATGCTGAGGTCAAGTTATAACTGGTAATAACTATGACAGTGAAAATGTGCACATGCAGGTTGTTCAGACTGGCATTTATCATAAATAACTTCCTTCTCTGTGTGCATGTGCTTGTTGAAAGGCATCCGTCCTCCTAGAGGAGTGCTCCTGTATGGCCCTCCAGGTACTGGGAAGACTATGATTGCCAAAGCAATTGCAAATGAGATTGGCGCTCACGTTATGGTTATTAATGGTCCTGAAATAATCAGCAAGTAAGTCCACCCAATTTATTTTCATTGATTCAAAAAATATATTGGCTTGAAGTCTGTCCTGGCGTCTGTCTGTTTGTGGGTAGCCCATAGCCAGTTCTACATCTATCTGCCCAGGAAGGTAAAAAACTAACGGGAAAGGGTTGTCTCCAGTAGGGCTTATGTTTCTTCTTGTAATAAGAGAGGTTTATTGGATTTAGCCAATAAATTTATGTAAGGCAAGAACTAAATTAAAGAGGGGATTAAAACTGCATCTGCAATTGCATGTTAGTTCTGCAACAAGAAGCGTGGCATATTAAAGCATAATTGAAATGAAGGTGACACTGCACCAAGAAATGTCTCCTGGGAATTGTTTGTTTGCTTTAAAAATATAGATAAAATTAACACAGAAAAGAGAAGTTTTGGCCTTTAATCTTCATTCTAGTTACAGGATGGTAATATATTTGCCTGTGCTCCATTTTACCTCAATTTCTTGTTCTTGTGGAAATAAAGTTTGTTGTAGATTCGCATGTACTTGGGGACTTTGAAAGGGTGTGCTATGGCTTTTTGGAATACACAGGGCTTTTCCAAGTTGCCTGGAAAAGACCAAAACATGATTTTTATTGAAGTATTTTAATTATTTTAGGTTTTATGGGGAGTCTGAATCAAGATTACGTCAGGTATTTGCTGAAGCTTCCTTGTGGTATGTTCTTTTGGATAATTTTTACTTTTACCACTTACTTGCAGTATTGATTCCAGCATTAATGTTCTTTAAGAAAAACATTTGCAAGAATGTTTGAATTGTAGTTTTTTCCTGCAGTGGTTTTTAAGAGGAAGTAAATTTGTTTATATAGAGCTTAGCTAGAAGGAAAGCAGTGAAATTTTAGTATGCCTATTAAATGCTTTTGGACACTACCCTTTTTAAGGGACTGTTGTAGATGGTGCCAAATCGCTCAACCTGTATCATTAGTGTGTTGTGCGTACGCTTATTTCAACAGATAGAAGCAGGAGCTAGAGTTTCACCTGGACCCAATTTTTTCTCTCTAGTTTTATCTTTGGAGAGCAATGCAGCACGCTGCTGAGCCATGGAAGCCAGTTCTAAATGAGCTAGTGTTGGTTCTATATAGCTATAGCACGCCTCTGGATTAAGCTGGCATTCTGCCCAAATTTATTAGACCTTGTTATGGCAGACTTTAGATTTCCAGATGATTGGTGTTCACAGTACATCAGCAAAAGACTCGCATACTGTATTTGTAGAAGAGGCAAATAAACTGCTGCCTTTTTTACTCATGTTGAGTCTTTGGGAGGAAGAAGTAAAAACTTAGATTGGTAGGTCATCTTGAAGGTATTAGTTGTTTGATATATTAGTCATTTTTGTTCAAGGTTGAAACTTTCCACCTTCCACCTGAAGGAGTGGAATGCTTGTCAATTTTTGTAGGACCTGGATGTTTTTCATAAACAGCTTAGTATTTCTCTGCCTTGGTGTTTTAAATCTTCCTGAGCACCTTAACATTAACTGCCCCCCCCCCCCCTTTTTTTTTTCCTCTCCAGTCAGCCATCCATTATATTTATAGATGAGTTGGATGCACTCTGTCCCAAGAGAGAAGGGGCTCAGAATGAAGTTGAAAAGAGAGTTGTTGCTTCACTGCTGACGTTAATGGATGGCATTGGCTCAGTAAGTAGCCTGTATTGCAACAATTAATGTCTGTGAGGACTAGCTGCCCAAAATAATTTTGCTTCTATAAAGCAGCCAATTCTAGATGAGTCATTTGGGAGAAAACAGGCTTAAGGGAGAGTTTATAATCTAATGCTTTGTTAGGTGCTAAGTGGAAGACATAGGAGGAGAATGTCTCCTGATAACTATGAGATTAAAAGCTTTCTTCCATTCACTGTCTTTCCTTTGCCTTCTTCCACTCTTGTAGTTTCGCACATAAATAGCCCATCATTGAACAAATCCAGATTTTCTGGATTTCTTTTTGCTCTGAAATCAAAGTCATGAAAATATTTCTGGTGATATGTAGGCTGCATTATTAAAGGCAACAACAGGTATTTCGAGATTGCCATAGTAATATTTGGCACATAAAAAAGCCTTCTGAAGAAGCAGTACATTTCAGTTGAGTACATTATGGATTAAGCCGACAAAGTTGGCAATCTCTCATCGATAATTTTATGATTATCAGCAGGAAACATGAAAGAAATCTCTCCACAGTATGAAAATTAGTTTTGTGCTGTTTTATGTGATCTGCAAGTTTCTCATTTTTTTTTCTGCATGATAGTTTGAGTTATCCAGTCTGGAGTTGTTCACAGGCAGAACATGTTTTCTGATGGCAAAGGGAGATACTCTTCACTCTTAGTGAATGAGTGTTTCATTCACTAAGAGAATGGTACTGCAAGAGACTTCTTAGCTGATTTTGCCTCACTCTAACAGTGCAAAAGCAGAGCCTGAGGAAATTGTTTAGGATTTTTGACCTATAAAGCTACAGGAAGCTTTATAACCTCCTGTCTCTGCTGGTTTTGATGCCTTAAATTATTTGTTTCTCAACCTTGTTTATTCAAGGTCTGCTGATACCTTTCTGTTCTTTGTGGCAATGCTGCCTTTTAGCTTAAACACTGCTTTTTTCTTTCCTTGGTGCTTACTTTCCTGATATGTAAAGCAAGATAGAAAAGTAAGCACTTGGGGATTAAAATGGGAGACACTAGAATGAGGGCATCTTGGAGGAAAGATTCTCTTGTATTATCGGTATGTGCAGCCTACAGTATTGCTAAATTGCAATTAAGGATAGGTTGGATGGGATCATTTGTGGGCTATATATTCTGAAACGTTCGCTTTCTTCCTCTGTAGGATCTCAGGATTTTGGTGTGTGTCATATTTGGGAAAATTAAGCAAGAAGTATTTTTATAAGCTGTGTATCATTTGATTGTATTTTAAAATTAATATTTTGCTTTGTTTGATGCCTTCAGGAGGGCAGTGAAGGACAGCTCTTGGTACTTGGGGCCACTAACCGTCCTCATGCACTGGATGCAGCACTGCGCAGACCTGGGCGTTTTGATAAAGAGATTGAAATTGGAGTCCCTAATGCCCAAGACCGTCTGGACATACTCCAAAAGCTTCTCAAGAAAGTCCCCCATTCACTCACAGCAGCAGAGTTGGCACAACTAGCTGATAGCGCACATGGTTATGTGGGTGCAGACTTAGCAGCCTTGTGCAAGGAAGCAGGTAAGACTTCATGCATCTTATTTAGGATCTTACTTTCTTACTTTATTGTTAATCTCTTTATTTTGTTTAAAAAATTCCACAGTCTGTACTAATAGCTTTTAAACCAATGAAATTTAATTTTTGTGTCAAAGAAAATATAGCCAAGCATGGAGCACAAGGAACACCAGTCTGCTCCTGGGCACATCAGAAATAAAAAAGCCTTTGAGTATTAATAGATTTGAAAAGTGAATGTCAAGATAAGTAACACTGGGGAGTCCTCTGTGCCAATTCTACCATATTAGAGAGCTAGCTGCCTTTCAGTAAACCAACGGTTTAGTGAGGTACCTGATATATCCCAGAGAGTTTTTCTACTCTAGATCCTGCCCCTTCCATACAAAAAACCTAAGTCACTCAGGCTGGACAGGTTGTCCTACAGATCCTTGTTCCCAGGAGACTGTGGGCCTGAGTGGTGTTTACTGTGTCTCCTTTCTTTTGTGCCTGTATTTCATTTGCCTGCCGATGCGGAGCTTGTAACATGAGTGAGGAGACCTTGTGCACCTGGGTCAAGTTGTGCCATGGAACTGGGAGAGCTAGAGAGCACGGCCAGTGCTGGGGCCTGGGAAGTGCCTCTGGCCTCCAGCACAGGCATAGCCTGGAGAATTATCCACACATTATACAGCCAGGGTTCAGTATGTTCCAGGGAATACTTAAGTTCACTTCTGTTTTCCTTGGATGAAATATTAAAAGCATCAATTCTTACATTTTGCTAGAATGCATCTACACGGTTTAAGTGTTGGACCATGAGCAGCCTTTTAAAACAGACTAATCAAAATATGACTCTTCAGCTCGGCTTATGTGTGTTTTCCCCCTTGTAGTTTGCGAGTATGTTTGCTGTATGTGCTATTTACTTTTATTTCCTTTGGCACTGGGACAGCTTCCTCTGGCAGTGACGCAGTGCACAGTTAATTCTTGCATCAGAATTAACTATGAAGATTACAGAAGTTTTATTAAGGGTGATGGCACCTGGAACAGCAAGGTTTTTACTTGCCAGTTTCCTGAATTTTTAAGGGATAGCTCTCAAATATGAATTTATGGACTTTTGTATGGATCAGGAAGAAAAAAATACGTATGGACACAGACCATATTATAGTGTGCTTCAGTTGGCCTCAGTTGTGTTTTAAGCTCTAAGTTAGCAAACATTCATTTTAAAACAAATATATACAAACAACAACATGAAAAAGATAAACTCCCTTTTTACTTTCCTTTCTTTGTTTTTGGAAGCCTCTCAATCTGCCTGTCTCACAGTCATCACATAGTAAACACTTAACTAATCTAAAACTTTCAGTGAGAAGTGTTGTGGTTTCAATTCCAAACATGACCCAGCCTGGACTTTCCTTGTGCACATAGATTCTGGACACTTCATAATCCAGCTGCAAATCAGTGATATTTATACACTTAATGAGGGCCTTTTAGAAAGAAATTTTGAATGTTGTGCAAATTGAACATTACCTCCTATCTAGAGTCAAAACTTCTGGCATCTACCTGTGACTGATTGCAGGACTATCCGAGAGCTTTGTAGCCAGAGCTAATACTGGGAATTGGAGAAGGAGGATGTCTCCTTTCTATTGATCTTTGTTCTTGAATGCTGTTAAAATTTCCTTGTCTTTGTTAACTTGGGCTGACCTCTGATGGGGACAATACAGTCCAGCCCAGTTAACTCTTTGTACCCCACATGTATTTTTCAAAGAGTTGCAGAAGCATGATTTTGTCAAAGTATGACATAAACTGAATTTAAGTTGCTCATTGTTAAAGAACAATCTCAGTTGGATTCTGTTTTTTCTGATGAAGCTCTTGAGTACCAATTTTTATATTAAGTTTTCAACACCCTGTAAAATATTAGTGCTTTCACTGAAGCTAAACTTAGAAAAGACTAGCTTTTATGAGATAATAATGTTACCTCATAATGATAAATAATAATATTTCTCATCAGCAGAGCAAGGTTATTTCATATAGAAAATTTTGCAGTGTTTTGTCTAGTCTTGTTTGTTGTTCCAAGCAATGGGCTTCTGTTGCTTCACTTAAGAAACTGAACTGTGGGCCAAGATAGCTTGTTGTCCAGGAATGCTCTCTGATACTCAGCCGAAGTTTTCCTTGTTTAGTTTTATTCCATTATTTCTATTTACATCCTTGTATAACCCGTTCACTCTCCCTCCTTAGTGTTTACACCCTTTGGATATCTCTAGGCTGTTCTCATGTCCTCTACCTCCTAATTCATTACTGAGCCAAGCTATAAATATTTAGCTGTTTTAATCTTTTCTCATAAATAAGTCCTTCCTGCCTTCTGAGAAATCATGTTCGTTTTCTCTGAACTCCCTCCAGTTTGTCAATAATCTTTTGCTAATGTGGGGCTCAGAACTGAACCTTGTATTTCGTATATATTGCAACATAAACCGTGATACAAACATATAGTTGACTGCTGGTGCACACTTTGAAATAACCAAAATGCTTAATGTTCAGGCAATAGCTGTGTTAAGAGTTCTTTTACAAATTTTAAGGTTGCTCTCACCACTTCTGCAGATGATGGGTGTGTAAGTACAGGTGAAACATGAAAACTAATTTAGAAGCAGGAATTCTGAACTCGGAAACACAAGTTCAGTTTTGGGTACAAGGTTATTGTTGCTCGCTAATTGTATTGCAGCAGTGGTCTTTGGGAGACTTGAGTCATAGAATCATAGAATCATAGAATAGTTAAGGTTGGAAAGGACCTTAAGATCATCTAGTTCCAACCCACTGCTATGGGCAGGGATACCTCACACTAAACCGTCTCACCCAAGAGTCCTGATTAACCCATTTATATCTGTAGGTACTTGAGTTGTGGCTAGAAAGCCTAAAAGTTTACAGGCTATGTTTAAATGTTAAAATATGTTTATATTCTTAATACTAAGTTTAGATCATTTCCAAAGGACTCATCCTTCCTTATCTGATATTTCAGCTCTTGTCTTTAGGGCATGTACTGTGTGTATACTGCTTATGTAAGCCAAGGGTTTGCAATGGTAATTAATGTAACACATGTAGTAATTGTAGGTCTATGATAGGCAAACATTTCACTTTTATTTCACTTTTGCATCTATAGTTAGGTTTTCTAAGCTACTTCATTATAAAATCTTTGATGTTTGTCTTCTGTGTAACTCTGAAGATGTGAAAAGTAAATAGCTATTGTAGAGTTAAACATACTCCAACTGTTTTGTTGGCAGAAGTTATTTGTTCTCCAGTGCAGGAACTGGTTGGTGGTACTTCTGGGGTCAGACAGGCAAGTTTTCTTTCCTGTTCAGCAACTCTGTACGTTTTCATGGAAGTCATTAAGAAGTTTTAGGAGCTTTTAATGTTCTGCTTTCACTGAGTGTTTCTAGGCCTCTGTGTATATCGTGTGTACAGACTTGCAGTGTTATGTATGCTGGAATGGGCAAGGAAAGGAGAGGTGGACAAGAAACCTGGAGAGTCTATGCAGTGTGCTCTGAGCTTTTTCAAACAGGGTATTATGACCAAACATTTGTGAAATATTTATATATAGACAGATATAATAATCAGTTAAGAGTGGTTTTTATTTATCTGCTGAATTTTTAAAATATGAGGGAATTTGTTTTCCAATGCTGCCTTTTCCTCTACTAAAGATACAATTCTGGTTTCTCACAAAATGAAATTGCAAAACTTTGACTTCATAGGAAGAACGCTAGGTATCATGAAGCTTACAGTATTGTTGCAAGAGTTGACATCAGGGTGACAGGCATCAGCTCTGTAAATGTATCTATCTCAGCCCGAATTGCTATGCAGAGTGCTTGTATTCCCTCTCACATGTTGAGGAAGTATTATTTGTCTGGTTTATAAATAACTATGGTCATTCCAGCAGAATTAAATGTAAACCTGGTATTTCTAACATGGCAAGTATCACTAACTTAGGTGCAGTGCTTTCAGAATCAGTGTACCTCGTCTCTGTCCAGTGTTACATTATCTGTAGTGACTGTGTTGGAGAAATTGGGATTTCTGTGACCCTCTATTGCCAAGCAATATACTTGCCATTTCCACAATTAACTGCATACATTCATGTAGGTTAGCAGCATAGTATGGAAAACCTGCAAGCACTTTGATGGGTGCTGGACATGTGCACATCACCAGGCTCCTTGTGGTAGACTCTTGAGGACTTGGGTGTCCTCTGAGGGATTCACATGCACAGAATTCTTGACAAGGGCTTAGCTATGTGTGCAGCTAGGAGTCATATTCTTAAAACTGGGAGAGGTCTTCTGTGTCCCAAGTTACTCAGTAGACTACCTTTTAGTGTGAAGAGCTGTCTTCTGAATTGTTTTATCTCAAGCAGAGGTGGTGTCTAGAAGAAGGACTTTGCCACATCCTTGTTCATATTGCCCGTGTTTGTATGTCCCTGAGATCTTGTTGCTTCTGCTTTAATTAATTTGCCACACAGTCTTTTTATTAATTCCCTAAGAAATGTAATAGTTTTGATTTAATGGCAAAGATAAGCCCTGCGCTTTTTTTTTTTATTTTTTTTTTAAACATATGAAATGTCAATTAGGTAGCAGGGACATGAATGGTATAAACTGTACTGAATGTTAGAAGATGCTTAGCAACAAGGTTTCCAAATATAGGAATTTATTATAAACTTAGCCTTCTATGGCTGCCTGTAGCATTTCAAGAGGGTGAATATAAATATAGCTTGATTTCTTCAAGTAGTGGATTCAGTCATACTGTTTACAGAGAAAGGAAGTATTTGCTTTATAATTCTTAGAATATATCTTGAACATCCTTGTTTATTACACATAATTTCAGTGTGCTGCTATAAAACACTTGGACTGTGATAAGGTAGCATCACGAAGAGAGGAAGAGCAAACGTCTTTGTTTAAATAGTGGTCTCTCTTGCAATAACATCTGTTTGGTTCCAGTGAGGATGCTGCATTGCAACCACCAAAACTTTGAAACTTCTGTGAAAGAAGCACTAATCACTTTGTTTG